GATAATTTACTATATCAAGTGATGAACTTTCAATAGCACGACTAAGTGGTGTAGCTAATGTTAATGATTCATGATTGATCTTAGCACCAGCATCGACAAGAGCACGAACAACACCTAATTGACCTGAATTAGCAGCATGATGAAGTGCTGTCCATTTAAAATGATCTTCAAGATGTATATTTGCGCTAGACATGTTAGGTCGGCAATTAGGACATTTTAATTTTTGTTTATTTTCTTACCCACATTGAAGAAGAAATTTTGTTGTTTCTAAATCACCATTTGCAGCAGCGATCATCAATGGCGTTTTATAAAATTTATCTCGAATGTCTACAGGTACTCCTGAAGTTAGAACAAAAAAAAAACATTTACATTCAACAACAAAAAAATTCTATTATACCTGATTTGAATGCATCAAGAAGTGTATGTAGATCACCTCGATAAACTATTAAATATAATAGAAAATATAAAATCAATATAAAAGATAAATTATCTTCTACCAGCATTATTAATATGTACAAATTGAGGATCAATTTTGTCTATATAATATACTGAATCATCATTAATGATATGTTTTGGAATGTGATCACGATTAAATCGATTTTGATCAGTAATAAATTCATGTTTTTTTATATAAACTAACGGTGGATTGCCATGTAATGTTCGAGATCCTTCATGACGTATTGCTATTGGAATTGCTAATTGTTTTTTTGTTTTTTTCATTTTTTTCTTTTTCTTTTTATTTGTTTTTTGAATAAATGTTTGCATAAGAAATGGTTTTTCAATAAATAATTTTCCAGTTAAAAATGTTTGATAATCAATTTCATTTGGATTTGTTTCATGTCGAATAATAAGATCATGAAGATCATCAGATGTTATTTGAGTAAAACCTTCTTCATGAATAATTTGTTTAAAATCATTTGATGTAATTCGATGTGTATTAATATTTTCTATTTGATGAAATCGACGTAAAAGTCTATCATATCGTTCTTGTAACCAATCATATAAATGAATTCTATAATCACGATCTGGATTTGATTTAGATGAGATTATTTTTCGATTATAGTGTTTTTTTTCAACTAAACGTATATTTGTTTTAGCATCTTTATTCTTCCATATCGTTGCAATTTTAATTGGTAATTGATTATTAGCATTTTTAGTTTTAGTTGTACCACCACGTTGAACCATAAATTTTATTGCTTTACCTTGATTTAACATTGCAGCTAAATGAACTGGTGTATTTAATAACTCATCAGCAAGATCAAAACGAGCATTATAAGCCGAAAGGATTGGTAAAAGCTAAATATATTTTATAGTTTTCTTTCATACAAAATACGAAGGTTCAATAGCTTTTACTCAAGATGCTAGTCATTTCTCGATGAAGTTAATTTACCTCGAATACCTTAGATGTTATAGCAGCATGAGCAGGTGTTCGCTGATGAATATCACGAGCATTTACATTAGCATTTCGTTGTAAGAGTTCACGTACTACTTTTACTGAACCGGAAGCACAAGCAGCATGTAAAGCTGTTGTACCTGTTTCCTAGATAATTGATATAAAAATTAAATAATCTAATATTTTTTGATTTTATTTTTTTTTTAATACTCTATCAATAGCATTAGCATTAGCACCTCGTTCAAGTAACGTCAAACAAATTTTTTCCATGATTACTCCATTTTCACAAGCAGCTACTAATATTGGTTTTCCCATTGTTGTCATTCCATTGACATCGGGCGTTCGTTTAGACATAATGATAGAAAAACACTCTTGTTGCCGAAGTGTACCATCAGAAAGACAAGCAAAAAGAATATCTGTATTAGAAACAAAAATATAATCAATAGCATAAATAATTCATGATATTAATACCATGTCCATTAAGATCTCGTATATTTGTTTTAGCATTTGCATTGAGTAATGTTTGTACTGCTTCGACAAATCCATGTTCAGCTGCACGCATTAAAGGTGTCCGACCCTGATAAGAGAAAACCTCGTATTCAACAAATCAAGTATTCTTCGATACACATTATCGGTGTATAAAAAAAAGTTGCTAGGGTCAATAGTATTTTAAAATCTTCTCTATAATTTTTTACATGGACTATTCACACCAAAGGTCTCAATAGGTCGAATCTTGAATAAAATATAAAATTTTCAAAAGATATTATGTATTTCTACTAAATTTTTTTTTCGGAAATCTCAAGTAATTCTTTCATTGATTAAAACATTTCTACAACGAAGAGCATATAATCATGTTACGGAACATTTATTTATACATCTATTACTGATACTCGAAATATGCTTGCTCATTCATGTGTTAAAAATTTATCCAATGCAATTAGATGAGTGACCTTTGGATGGGCCAGTGTTTTGGGATAAAAACCATGGACTGAGTCGACTTTCTATGACTCAACCCAGTCCATTGAAACCTCTGATTCACACCTTGAAATCAGTTACATTTGGATTTGCACCAAGATCAAGAAGATATTGCATCATAATCTCATCGTTTTTCTTCACAGCAACTAACAATGGTGTTTCACCTATGATGAATAATAAAATTATCTTAACAAAATTGTTTAACTTTATATTTGATTACCATCAATCGGATTATTATAATTAATAATACCATCGATACCTTTCTCGCAAATACGTCGTACTTCATTGTAATCAGATGTTCGTACAGCATATAAAAGCTTTTTAATTTGTACTAATTCAACTGGAGTATGTGCAATGACCATGATGAGAATCAATAACGAGTGAACGCGCGAAATGATATTCTTTTTTATTGCCAAAAAGTACATAAGATGCATTTTATTTATGATAAAAGAACATACAGGAAAAATTACTTTTTATTGTCAAATTAAACAATAAACGAAAACAATCTAATTAAATGCTAACTATTGATAAAGTTATTTTGTGCTAATGGTTTAAGACGATCATGTAGAATAGATTTTTGGTGAAACAGAAATCATTTGATATTTCTAAATGGTTTTGTTAATTAAGCAGCAGCACGTAATAAAAAATGGCATCAAAACCCTAAAGTATTTGGTGTTGCTGAGCAATAGCTTCTTCTTAAATTTAAAATTAAAAGCTCGAAAAAAAAAGATTTTTGTTCTTTTCAAGTTAATTATCGTGTCCATGTTATCATTTTCAATCCAATTTAGAGATGTCAAGTTAGCGTTAGTATTAGCATAATGTAAATTTGTTAGGCATTAGTATTAAAATTAATCTTAGTGTTTTAGTATTATTTGCATTAAAATTAATTAATCTCAAGCTATTAGTATTAAGGATACTCCAGCCTTCTTTTTTTTAGCCATTTCTCATTCTCGAAGAAGTGCAATTGATCCGCATAAAATTTCTACCATCGATAGAGTACCTAAAATCAGGATACAGGTGTTCGAGCAAAAAAAAATTTAAACAAAATTTATCGTGGTCTTTCTGGAAAACTTGGTTTTCCATAGGATCACAGGTACTTGAAAGTATCCTCCAGTGGTAAAGTCGATTGTTTTCGTTTTTGACCTTCCTATTCGAATTTATAGAGCCCTACACGCCAGTACTTCAATTTTAGATCCGAATCTTTACATATTTCTCTCATAAAAAAAAAGAAAGAAAGTGAGGTTTGTGAAAAAGTTTCATGTAACCTCTGAGATATAGTCAAAGGTATCCCTCAAGAAATTTTGAACCCGATCAGACAAAATTAAACGGGAGCTCTAAGCAGGCTAGATGCTGTTCTATGGGAAACCTTGTTTAAAATTTTTTCTCTCGAACACAATGACCAAAGAAATAGGAAGGCACCCTTAAAATATCATTATTTTTAATTCTAATACATATGCTATCTGCGACTATACCTCGGAGAGTTGATGCTTAAAAATTTTCGATAACAGAACAAAGAGTTTTTTTAATACCCGGAAGTGCCATTTCCAAAACAGAGCAAAATTGTTCCGTTTTGGGAGCATCTAAGCTTTGAATGTTGAAGATCTAGTCGTCGATAATCTATGTATTAACATTTAGAATAATATTCATTTAATGCTAGAACCTTGCCATTAATTAATTCTAATAGGACACCTCTAATATAAATTATGGTCTTTTTTTCGATGGTACTGATATAGATTTTTTGCTTGTGGCATATTTTAGTTTATTTATACTATCGGTATTGGATTTTCCATTAATTAGATGATAAAAACATGAGTCAATAAAGTCTACAGCAACAGTTAATGTTTTAAAACTAGAAATATTTTCATGTATAACTTTTATTAACAAGATATTTACAAATAGGAAAGAATGAATTTTCAATAACATTTATTAATAGTATTACTTTTATTATTAATGTAATGGTGGCTTCAACACAAACTTGAATAACATAATAAATTGAAGTCTATTTAGAATTATCTGTTTTGTTCAAATAAATTCTGATAAAGAAAAAAAATTAAAGTAATGGATTCATATTTTTCTCTGCAATTATCCACATATCTACAGATATTGAACAATGTTGAGATCACTATAAGTAGTATAGGCTATGATAAATGAAACATCTTATTAAGAACAACAACACAATCAATTCTTATTAATTTACTTACCATGAATAATGTTTTCATAAATTTATCTATTATGTGTACAGATAGACTTCATTGACATGTATCTAATAATATTTATAAATCACCATGATAAATTATTAGACAACAAATGACTAAATAATAATAATAATAATAAGATTAAATGAAAGTTTTTCATTATCAGCATCATATAAATTGATATAAGTTTTATTAGATTTATCTAGATACTATCATGAATCATGTTCTAAGGAATTATTTGACACATTATCACATAAAAATATGTGTATTATCAGTGTAAAGAAAAATGTTGTGGTGTGCAAGTTTTTTTTGTGAATTATCATTCTCTTTACTTAGTCTTTCATATTTTGAATAGCAACTAAAATAGATGAATCAATATCAATCCATCAATTCGTCATAGAATATCGACTTAAATGATTAATGCACCTTGGTTGTTTCTAAGCATTTTTTTTCTTCTTTTTTTTTGTATGCGTCGCCATTACATAAGATTTTGGTAAATATTTTGTTCCAGTTAAAAATGTTCTATAATCAATTTCATCTCGATTTTTATCATGTATTTCACATAAATCTTTGATATTATACGGTTTAAGAAATGAAAGAAAATTTTCATTGTTAAGAACTTTTTTAAAATTGTCTTTTAATATAATACCACTTTTTGGTTCAACCAGATCAAATTCTTCAAATTGTTTTTCAATACATTCGAAATTTTCATAAATATAATCATAAAGTTTTATTCTCCAATCAAGAAATTCATCTAAAAAATATTAATTAAAATTGAAATGAAAATAAATAATTCGACATGTAGATTTACCTATAGCTAAATTAGCAGTCATTTCATGATAGCCACGTTCAGCTATTCGTAAATTTCTTTGCACATCTCTATTTCTATATTGATTAGCAATTTGTTTTGGACTAAGTCCTTCGAAATTCGGTTTCTTCGGATTACAACCTATGAATAAAAATTTAATTTGAACAAGAAGAATTCAAAATATTTTTATACCTCGTTGACCAAGAAATCGAATAACAGTATCAGCATTAGACATAACAGCATAATGAATTGGATTATTACCAAGAGTATCATATACATCAAATTTTGCACCAAAACCAGATAGAATTCGAATTATCTAAGAAAGAATCTCTAGTGAACCGAACAACTGAGAAATATTTAATCACCTGAAAATGTCCACCTTTAGCTGCTTCATGTGCAGGTGTTGATTTTTTATTATCTAATGCATTTGGATCTGCTTGTGCATGTAAAAGTTTTCGTACAACTTTAGTACTTCCAGATAAACAAGCATTATGTAAAGGTGTACGTTGTGTCTTCTATTGATAATAAGAAAAAAAGAAAATCTTTTTTTTTTCAAATAAAGAATTCTTTATTGATTTTACTTCATCAATAAGTTGTACATCAGCTCCAGCTTGAATAAGAGTCATGCAAAAGTCTTCGTATTCTACAGAATCATTACATACATGTACCAAATTTGGTACACCATTTTGTGTTCGATTATTAACATTAGCACCCATTTCAAGTAACATTTTTAAACATGTTTTATGATGTTCTGTTGCTTTAGTAAAACAATAATAAACTGCATCTAGAAATAAATATTTTTTTTTTTTATTTGAAAATATTTTCTTTACCTTTTCCTTCGAAATCTTGAATTGTTGGATTAGCGTCTGCATCACGTAATAATCGTAAAATAGTAGTATGACCACATTCAGCAGCATGCATAAGTGCTGTACGACCAGAAAAATCAATAACATCAGGATGAGCAGCAAGTTCTAATAGACATTTTATCATGTTTGTATTATTTTGTGTGATAGCCGCTCTAGATAGAGATCTATGAAAAAATTTTTTAAAAGTTTAAAATATTTGTGTTTACATTAATGCAGTCAATCCATTTTGTGGATCATTATAATTTACAAGATTTTTAACACCTTTTTCAGATAATTTTTGCACCAATAAAATATTATCTGTCCGCACGGCATAGATTAATTTGTGCACTTGTAATTGTTCAACAAGATCTTGTGCAATTGGCATTTTTTGAAATATTTAACAAGAAATAAAATGTCAAAATATAGTAAAATAAATTAAGATTTATCGTTTTCACATCTTCAACACAAAATTAACTTGAAATTATTTTAATATGCACAGATATAATGCTACCATATACATATTTGTTGTCAAGATTATCTTTTGAAACTTATGTTATCTGTTTATGAGCAATTAAATGACTAATGCAGTGTCGCTACCGATCAATCAATGGAACATATATGAAGCAGAGCATAACCAAATGAGTTTCATATAAAAAGAAAAGCATTAAATATGCGTTTCTACAACTTCCGTCAACGGTTGTGTTAACTTTTCTCGACATATTTTGATTGTTTAAAATACAAATTGTAGAT